TTTCCCAACTAGGCCTCTCACTTTAGTACATGTTCTGATAGACCTCTGATCTGAGGGAATATCCCAAACTCTAAACCATGCTTGCTGTAGTTCTCCTTTAGCTCCAAAGCTTGCAGTATATGGATCAATCTTCACCTGAGCATTTACATATCTCATTGCAATGAAAGGGAAAAATCTCCACTCCTTGACCATTTTTGCATTGGGGAACCTCATGACGAATTTGTTTTCACCAATAGGCCTAGCAGTCCATCTCCATGTCTTTGTTCCATGCACATTCATAAACTATTTCCCAACATCCTTGCTATTAGCTTGCCCAGCAGTAATAGTAATAACAGCAGTGCACTCTTTCTCTCTAGCCATCCTAGGATCTATATCCTCCTCAACAAAAAAGAAACTTTGGTCCTCTACCTGGGTTGCACACAATTCAGGCCCACTAATCCAAGCAATGCATCTCTTACAATCATATGCCATATGACCAAGAACTCCACAAATTTCACAATTGAGTCTTCTACAATCTTTGGTGACATGGTTGAACAATCCACATATTTCACAAGCAACCCTAGGCTGCACTATGGGATACACGAGCTTTGCCGAGTGCGAAGGGCACTCGGCAAAGCCCCAAAAACACTCGGCAAAGCGTTTGCCGAGTGTTACACTCGGCAAACGTTTTATCGGCAAAGAGCTATTTGCCGAGTGTCAAACGTCAGCACTCGGCAAAGACTATGCCGAGTCCCAAAAAAACACTCAACAAACATTTTTGGGAAAAAAATAAAAAAAAACAAGTCCCGCCGCCGCCACCACCACCACCACCAAGCCCCACTGCCGGCCACCACCACGCCGCCCGCCGGTGCGCTCCTCCCTACCGGATCCGCCATCGGAGGGCACCTGCCCACCGGATCCGCCGCCTCCACGCCGCCTCCTCGCCGGATCCACCCGCCGCCATCGTGGATCTGATCATCGGCGAGGGAGAGAGTGAGGGAGATGAAGAGAGGAAAAGAGAGGGAGATGGGGAGAGCTAACCTACCTCGGACCCACGCCGACCGTCGCAACCCCATCATCGCCGGATCCGAGCCCCAGCAGCCGGATCCGACGCATGCCGCCGTCGCGAGGCCCACCCATCGCGGATCCATTGCCGTGGAGCTCCCCTTGGCCCTCCTCGCCGGATCCAATGCTAGGCGCCGTCGTGAGGACCACCCGCCGCGGATCCGTCGGCCTGGAGCTCGCCTTGGCCCTCCACGCCAACGGGGGAAGAAGGGAGGGGACAGGCGCCCACCGGGGAAGAAGAAGGTGGAGGGGAGGGATGCCCGCCGGGGAAGAAGGGGGGGAGGGGCGGGCCGCTAGCGGGGGAAGAAGGGAGGGGAGGACCGGGGTGTCGACGGGGGAAGAAGGGAGGGGAGGGGCGCCCGCAAGGAAGAAGGGAGGGGAGGGAGCGGCGGCGGCCGGATCTAGGGAGGAGGAGGAGGGGAGGGGCGGTGCCCGGATCCAAAGAGGGAGGGGAGGGGGGCCACGGAGAGGAGAGGGAGGAGGGCGTCTTGGGAGGATGGGAGGAGGGGGGGGGCGGCCTTGAGAGAGAGGAGCGGGCGAGCGGATCTGGGAGGAGGGAGGGGAGCTGAGGGGAGGGAGGGGAGGGGCGATGGCGGTTAATTAAGTGGTTTTTTTCCTTTGCCGAGTGTCCTAGATCTGGGCACTCGGCAAAGTTTTTTTTACTTTTTCTCTTCTCCTTCTTTCCTAGAAAAAAGATTTTTTTCCTTTGCCGAGTGTCCTAGATCTGGGCACTCAGCAAAGTTTTTTTTCTTCTCCTTCTTTCCCGGAAAAAAATTTTATTTATTTGCCGAGTGTCCTAGATCTGGGCACTCGGCAAAGTTTTTTTTATTTTTTTTCTTCTTCTTCTTTCCTAGAAAAAAGATTTTATTTCTTTGCCGAGTGTAAAAAAACACTCGGCAAACTCCCTATTTGTCGAGTGTTTTTTTAGACTCGGCAAACCTCCTCTTTACCGAGTGTTTTTTTTGCCGAGTGTTTTTAGCGGAGCACTCGGCAAAGAACTTGTTTACCAAGTGCCCGAGAGAATACACTCGGCAAACATAAAAACACTCGACAAATTTGACATTTCCGGTAGTGCTAATTCGGGGGAGGATCAGATTGAGCATCATGGGATCTATTAGACTTGTTACCTTGGGAAGATTCTGGTACATCTACCGGATACAGGAGCCTTGCCGAGTGCCAGGGGCACTCGGCAAAGCCCCAAAAACATTCGGCAAATGGTTTGTCGAGTGTTGCACCTGGCAAACGACACTCGGTAAATGTTTTATCGTCAAATGCTAGTTTGCCGTGTGTTTTTTGTCACGGCTCGGCAAAGACGTTGCCGAGTGGCCAAAAAAACACTCGACAAACTTTTTTTTGAAAAAAAATAAAAAACAAGCCGGACGCTGCCACCACCGGCCGCCGTCACCCTTGCCTCCCGCCGCCACGCCATGAAGCCCGCAGCCGCCAGCACCAGCCAGGACCACCACAACGCCGATGCCGCTGGGGAAGAAGGCCCCGCCCCGTCAACCGCCGCATCCGGGGTTGCTCAATCCACCACCGGATCCACCGCTCCTCCCTCCGCCATCGCCGGAGGTGGACGGGGCAGATCCGTCGTGCCTCGATCCGCCGCCACCGCGACCCGATCCGCCCCGGCCGCGTCTCGATCTACCACCACCGCGACCCAATCCGCCCCCACCGCGACCGAACCCGCCACCGAGGGGTCGTCGTGACCTGGTCCATGCTTAGTGGCGGGGAAGAAGGGGGAGGGGCCGGATCCACCAGTTGTGGAGGTGCTCCAGCTCGCCGGTGGTGGGGGAAGGCTAGATCCGCGCTCGGGGAGAGGGAGAGCGCCGCCGCCTGCAGGGGAGATGGAGAGGGAGGGCCGTCGCCACCTGTGGGGAGATGAAGAGGAGAGAGGCGTCGCCGCCACCTCGCGCTCGTCTGGCTCGCGCAGCTCCGGTGAGCTCACCACCACCACCACACCGGTGAGCTCACCACCACCACCATGCCGGCGAGCTCACCACCACCACCACGCCTCCCGCCGACGCCACGCCACCACCAGCACCACGCTGCCACCCGGAGAGAGGGGATGCGACGGCGGCTGGATCCTGGGAGGAGGGGGAGGGGAGGGGCGGTGCCCAGATCCGGAGAGGGAGAGAGGGCGCGGGTGGGCGGATCTGGGGAGGAGGCAGGGGAGGACGGGGCCACGCCGGAGGAGGAGGGGAGGGAGGGGAGCGGCGCGGTGGAGAGAGGGCGCGGGTGGGGGAAGAAGAAAGGGGAGGGAGGGGCGCGGGCGGGGGCTGGTTAATTAAGCAAGTTTTTTTCCTTTGCCGAGTGTCCTAGATCTGGGCACTCAGCAAAGTGTTTTTTTTCATTTTTTTCTTCTCCTTCTTTCCCAGAAAAAGATTTTATTTCTTTGCCGAGTGTCCTAGATCTGGACACTTGGCAAAGTGTTTTTTTTTATTTTTTTCTTCTCCTTCTTTCCCAGAAAAAAGATTTTATTTCTTTGCCGAGTGTAAAAAGAAATCACTTGGCAAACCCCCTCTTTGCCGAGTGTTTTTTTTACACTCGGCAAACCTCCTTTTTGCCGAGTGTTTTTTTTTGCCGAGTGTTTTTAGCACAACACTCGACAAAGAACTTGTTTGCCGAGTGCCCGTGAGAATACACTCGGCAAACATAAAAACAGTCAGCAAATTTGGTCTCCCTTCTTGTTCCCCCACTGTTCCTCTAGTTGCTTTGGCTGGTTCTTCTTCCCCTCCCATTGCTCATTCGCAGGCTGTTCCTGGGTATCCTCTTGTACTGCTTCTTCCTGTGCTAGGGGATTCTTGTTGGTACACTCCCAGGTGAGGTTGCGGCCAGTAGTACGGCCACCCTTCTCCCTTGTCTCCCAGCACCAAACCTAGCACACGCCGTGCCAAAGTTCCCGCGATGGCCACCACCCCGATTCATCTTGGCCGCAATCGTTGGAGCCGACTCGGCTCGAACGGCAACCGCAAACGATCTCCCCGAGGTCCCTCGCCGGAGATGCCCAACGAATTTGTTGAGGACGATTTGGGATGTGGTTCGCTAAGGGTTTGCGAATTGGGGGTGGAGACTTACACGGGATCGGCTCCTGAGGATGGGATAGCGAAAGGGGCAGGACGGTGCTCCAACTCGGAGTCGTCACCTACCTCTCGCTCACCCTTATCTAGATTACCGCCGTGTGTCTCCTCATAGGGTCTACGCCCTAAGATCCCCGCAACCTCCTGTACCTTAGGTCGTGAGCGGAACCACCGTCGCTTACTGGTTGGCTCCACTCCCAGAGCTTTCGAATTTTTTCCTCCCGCCGTCGAAATCCTCACCGGCGACGCCGTACCACCATGTCCAACCCATTGGAGTTTGATTGGGATCGATTTAATCTTCATTGTGTTCTGCATGATTTCTTCGAATGGCAGGGTGTTCTTCTCCGCCGCGTGTTGGAAGCCCCATGACTTGACGTCCACGGGGACACCGAAGCCCCTTGCCCGTTCCCGTCGCCGGTGACTCCTCGTTCCGCAGCCATAGTTCCCCAGCATCATTCGCCACCCCCAAATTTCTGCGAACGCCATGCATCGCGCCGCTTGATGAGAACCGCGATGTCCTCCTTCGATCCCCCGGAATCTCGGTGAGGATCGGTGGAAGGAATATCTCCGGCAGAGGAGGGAGCATCAGCGGGGGAAGGCGAGGAGCGGGGCGGAGAACGGGAGGGAGGCGTGGGCGCTACGGGAGAGAGACGAGCTATCGTGCCCCTCTTCGCAGAAGAATGCATATGAACAAATCAAAGTTTGTTCATTCATTTACTGAATTGTGTTGCACGTACAGGAACACTACGTACATCCAAACCTATGTTTGATTTTGTTGAAAGCTACTCCGATCCTACGTACTAGTATATAGGAGTATCAATCGGAGCTAGAGTAAAGTACACAGTTTTGCTTGGAGCCTAGAAGTACATAAGTATGTTAGACGTGCTCCGGCGTGTCCGCGGCGGAGAGGAAGGCGACGGCGTTGCGCCTGCCACGCTCGGACCGGCAGTTCTCGGCGAACTTGAGGCTGGCGCTGTGACGGCCTACGCTCTTCTCCTCCTCGCTCCACTCGGCGGCATAGTAGCTCTCCTCGTCGGCGGCGGCGCTGGGCGGGAGGAGCATGGAGCCCCACTGCGGGAAGTGCACGAGGACGAGCGGCAGCGTGCACGCCATGGACATGATGCCCATGTTCTGGATCCCCTTCCCCGTGGAGTAGCTGGACGTGGTGAAGAAGAGCAGCTGCGTGAGCCCCGCGCCGACGTTACCGCCGGCGCCCGTGAGCCCCGAGATGACGCCCAGCGAGCGGCGGGAGACAAAGGGGATGACGCCGAACGTGGCGCCGCAGGCGGCCTGTGAGCAGAACGAGAAGAGCACCATGGCGGTGACGGAGGCCGGGAGCGAGCTGGCGCGGCCGAGCCAGAGGCAGAAGGCGCCGCCGGCGGTCTGGAGGATCCAGATGTTCCAGAGGCGCGCGCGCATGCCCCAGTACCGCGCGCCGACGTCGGAGAGCACGCCGCCCAGGGGCCGCGACACGAGGTTGGCCATGCCGAAGCAGGCGGCGATGATGCCGGCCACGCGGATGTCGAGCTCGAACTGGTCGTAGAAGAACTCGGCGATGATGTTGTTGCTGGTGAGCTGCACGCCCATGCTGTAGCCGTAGACAAACACGAAGACCCAGGTGCGGTAGTTGGCGACGGCGTGCCAGAGCACCTTAGAGAAGCTGTCCCTGCGGCAGCAGCTGGCGTCGCCGCCGCCCTCGCCCTGCTGCTTCCGGAGGCTGCGGAGGTTGCCGTCGGGGAGGTCCTGGCCCGTGGTGAGCACGAGGATACCCACGGCGACGTGCATGAGCCCCGGCACGAAGTAGGCGATCCTCCACGCCGCGAACGGCGTGGCGCCGCACCGGAGGATGCCCTCGTAGACGAAAGGCATGATGAGCTGCGTGGCGCCGCCGCCCATGTCGCCCCACCCGGACGCCAGCGCGTTGACGGTGCCGATGATCTTGATGTTGAACATGGTGCTGGTCCAGTACTGGCACGAGACGAAGGTGGCGAGGGAGAAGCCGATGAGGAACCGGCACACGACGTAGCCCGCGGCGCTGTCGATGATGGCCATGCAGAACACCGCGGGCGCCGCCAGCATGACGACGAAGGCGCAGCCGTACCGCGGGCCCAGCAGGTCGCAGACGGCGCCCATGGCGAGGCGCGAGAAGATGGCGCCCGACACGGAGGCCACCCCGGCGTTGCCGATGTCCGCCTTGGTCAGGCCCAGGTTCTCCCGGATGATCGGGATCAGCGGCGCCGCGGCGAAGGTGGAGACGACGCAGGTGAAGAAGGACATCCAGGAGAGGTGGAAGGTGCGCATGTGCGGGTTGGCGAAGGAGAGCAGTCGGATGGACTTGGCCTTGTGCTCCGAGTCCACCGGCAGGTCGAACGACTTGCCCGCCGCCGCCGCCGCGGCGTCCTCCTCCGCCGGCACCTCCTCCGTGGAGATGGCGAAGGCGAACACCGGCTCGCGCGCCGTCACCCCGTGCAGCGAGCTACCAGGCGCGTCGCTAGCCATCATGTGTCTACTCTCTTCTCTTCCTAACTGCTTTCTTCAACCTCCAACCCTAGCTAACTCTAACTCAGTTATGCTAAGCTAGGAGGTGTCGGTGTGTGACTGTGCAGGTGCGAGAGCTTCTGGTGCTTGGATCCTGAAACGATGGATGGGGTTTTATAGGCAGCGAGCACCGAGCAGGGCGCGAACGAGTTGACATTTTATATTAGGGCCTTGTTTAGATTGAAAAAAAAATCAAACCGATGAATAGTAGCACTTTCGTCTTATTTGATAAATATTGTCCAATCGTGGACCAACTAAGCTCAAAACATTCATCTCGTGATTTCCAACTAAATTGTGCAATTAGTTATTTTTTTTATCTACGTTTAATGCTCCATGCAAATGGCTAAAAATTGATGTGATGGAGAGAGAGTGAAAAAACTTGGAATTTTGAGGGTATCTAAAGAAGGCCTAGGGCTTCGTGAATGCTGATGATAAGGTAAGGTCATGTTTAGATCTCATCCAAAATCCAAAAATTTTTAAGATTTTTCGTCACATCAAATCTTGCGACATATGCATGGAGCATTAAATATAGGTAAAAAGAATAACTAATTGCACAGTTTATCCGTAATTGCCGAGACAAATCTTTTAAGTCTAAATAGTCCATAATTAGACAATTTTTATCAAATACAAACGAAAGTGTTACAGTAACCAAAAGCCAAAAATTTTCGCATCTAAACGGGCCTAGGTGCTGGAGCCTGGAGATGCAATGCAGAGGGTAGTCAGGACTCAGGAGAAGTTGACTTTCGCCAGCACGTCGCATGTGCTCCCCACGGTGTTCTGACTTTTCCATTCGTTTCAAGCAAACTGGAGAACCAGGTGAAAGCGACGTCCGTCTCAGCCTCTCAGGCCCAACAGTCAGGGGCGGGACAAGAACTTTCGAGCTTCTTGGGATTATCATAAAGAAAGATTGCGTGCCTCGACTTGCGCACTGCACCGTACTGATGATGCACATGACCTCTGATGAACGCCCAATCAATTTTGGGTTAGGAATCAGTATTTGGTATTGTAGCACTTTCGTTTGTATTTGATAATTATTATCCAATCATGGTCTAACTAGGCTCAAAAGATTCGTCTCGTAATTTACAATCAAACTATGTAATTAGTTATTTTTTTATCTACATTTAATACTCCATGTATGTGTCCAAAGATTTGATGTGATAGAGAGAGTGAAAAAACTTGCAATCTAAACAAGGCTGCACCGGACTGATGATGCATGGAGTATTAATTAAGGCTGCACCGGACTGATGATGCACATGACCTCTGATGAACGGCCAACCGATTTGATGAGTTTTGTTGATACATTCATCATATCTTCGCAAAGGAAAAGAAAAACCGTTCTGCCTAAGCCTCGATATAAACTAATTAAAGCATCCTGATTTTTGGGTTCGAAATGAATCCCTGACTGCAATATATCTGTTTGGGTTCCTAATTAACTGACGCCGGGTCAGAGATTGGGAGTGACTAGCTACGAGTATAAATAAATAAATAAATCGTAATACCAAAAGGTTCGTTCTACTTAATTAGGATACCACTGTCTGCTGAAAATTAACAAGCAAGTTGCAAGCCAATATTAATACTTGCATTGTGTCGAGTCTGTAATAATATAATGTGTGGCTAAAATGACTGACGGCAACACTGCTCTATCTGATGCCTGCTGACTACTCAATGGGTTAGGGGCGTTTAGATATAGGGGCTAAAGTTTAGGGGAGTCACGTGGGGTGTCACATCGAGTATTCGGATAGTAATAAAAAAATAAATTACAGAAGTCCTCAGTAATCCGCGAGACGAATTTCAAATTAGTCTCAATCTGTGCATTTAGTTTTATAATTAGTCTATATTTAATACTTTATACATGTGCCAAACATTTAATGTGACATGGCTAAATTTTTACTCGAGGAGACAAGCAGGGCCTCAATTGCACGTTTGGCACGTCAGTCTGCCAGCCGCCCGAACCACTGCACGGTGCACTCATGACCCATCCATGTGCCGCCCGCCTGGAAAAACCGTAAGTCAGATTGATGCCCAGAGGCAGCGAGCTAGTCCCTCCGTCTCACACAGAGCGGCGTTTTATGTTTTTATCCTTTGTATTAAAATTGTAATTTTATCTTTGTTTTTTTTTACTTTATGAATTTACCCCTGTGATTTCTTAACGAAGCACAAGTTTGCCCTTACTATCCCCTAACGGTGTTAAATTTTATACAAAAGGACAGAAATGTCCATGTGATTTTACCCCTATTTGTTATGCCTATTTATGATTTTATCCCCGATTTGGAATTAGAATTTTTAATTGTATGCCGACACAAATGAATAAATTTGGTCAAATAAATTTGTATGCAATTATTTCAACTCAGATTTAATATAGAAAATATTTAAAATTTTGGCAGCACCTTTGCAATATTTTGCTAGCATCATGACAACAATATAAAGCACATATAAAACACATGAGAAAAATCATGGAGAACCAACATTTTAAAGCCTCCCGTACAGCATGTCAACATGTCCACAAAAGGTACAAGTCTACACAACATCACCATGTCCACAAAAGCAACCAGTCTGCACCATGACAACATGTCCACACAAGCAACAAGTCTGTACCATGTTACATGTGCACAAAAGCTACGAGCATCTCATTCAAGGACCACCTAGAGACTAACAAACTAGCTATCCTTCCTCTTGTTCACCCTCCTCTTCCCCTCTCTCTGAAAAGCATTGACCAGGTTGGTTAGTAATGATTACGTCAACAAATAAATACACCAATACAACCATGACTTACATTGGCTCATTCCTGCCTTCTCCTGATTCTCTTCCTCTTTCCCTTCCTCTTCCCCTTCCCCTTCCCCTCCCAGTAGCACTTGCACTAAAAAGAGAGAAAACATGATTTCAAAATTAGCTATATCCGAGCATGCCACAAGTAGAAGTGAGAACCAATAGAACCATGACTTACATTGGGTCATTGTTGTCCTCTCCTGACTCTCTTCCCCTTCCTCTTCCCCTACCTCTTCATCCTCCCCCTCACAGTAGCACTTGCACTAAAAAGAGAAGAAACATGATCTCTAAATTTGCAATGGTTATAGATCCAGAAATAAATAGAAGTACACCATGACTTACTTTGGGTCGTTGTTGTCCTCTTGTGATCCATGGTGTGAAGAATTGAGCCCTCTCTTTTGAGTAGCATGGTCAGACCTCCTTGGCAAGTCTTGGCTAAATGCCCTGGTTCATGGCACTGAGAACATAATCTTCTTTTCTTGCTACTATTAACCTCATCATATGCCTTGAACCTAGACTTTCTAGGTCTCCTAGGTTTCCTTCTCAATTTAGGCTTATGGATTTTGTAGCCTAAGTCAACACGTGGCCGAAGGTCTTTGGATGTCATTGGAATGAAAGTACCTACATATGCCTTTCTCCACCTTTCAACAAAGAAGTATTCATGGACAAACTCATCAATTTGAACATCTCTACTAAGCTTTTGCAATGAAAGCTAGAGCATGGCTGCAAGGCTTTCCACATTCACTTGCCAAGCCCTACAAGTACATGTCTTTAATTCCAAGTTAATTGCATGCCTAAATTTGTTGACTGACACTTCTCTTTTCCAGACCCACAAATGAAGACATCATGGTCCTTAATGGCCTTGGATTGAGCATTCAGATCTTTGATGATATCTGGGATTATTTTTTCACTCATCTTTCTAGCATTCTTTGATCTCAAGACAAATTTCTCAATGATCATTTGTCTTATCTTGTCATGTATTTCCATAATTTGATGTTCCTTTATTTATGATACCCAACTATTGAAACTCTCAAAAAGGTTATTGTTGATGTAATCTACCTTACAGTCTTCTGAGAATTTGCTTCTACTCCATATGTACGGATGGTTCTCATCCAACCATTCAAGTGCATTGGGATCCTTCTCTTCTATATTCCTCATGAAGAAGTTGAACTTGTCAGCTGTGAAGCTCTTGGCAGCTGCACACATATGCCACTGGAAATAGCCAGTTGTGACCATCTACTACAACAGCTGCTGCCAACTAACCTCTTGACCTGCCTGTCAAGTGAGTTGCATCCATGGCAATATCTGGTCTGCGTCCTTCTAAAAACCCATCAATGCATGGCTTTAGAGCAACAAAGAATCTCATGAAACATACATGACCATTATACTCCTCAGTCTCCAGTTCAACCACACTGCTAGGCACTGACCTCAGAAGCTCAGCTTGATAAGTAGGAATCAAGTCATAATAATCTTTCCACTTCCCATAAATGATAGCAAGTGCTCTCATCTTTCCTCTAAAAACTCTATCATATGGAACATCCAGTGAGTACTTCTTGTTTAACTCATCTTGCAATTCTTTTGGACCCATTTCAGGGTTATCCCGTAGTAAGTTCACAACTCCATCACAAACCCATTTATTTGAGGCCATGGACTAACCACACTTGTTGAAAGAACCACAAGTGTGCTTTGGTCCACTTGTCTTCACCTACAACACAATAAAGACAATCCAACATCTTGTTAGCAAATTACATCTAAAGTTAATACACTACATTATGGAAAGAGGACCAAATTACCTTGCATCAAACATACTTCTTGCTTGTAGATGCGAAAAAAGTCCACTTGCAACTCTTATTAGCTCTCTTGCGTATGTTTCTAAATCTTTCTTGATCTTTTTTGACAATCTTAAAAGCATGGTCATGTAAGATAGCATGATGTGTAACTACAGACTTGCACTGATCCACATATGGGAACACCACATTTACATCAATGCATGGATCATTAGGATCATATGAAAACATGGGAGCATCATACTCATCAACATCATCAAGTATTTCACCATCAGGATCAAACTCTGAGTCAGAGCAATCATCATCAGAGTCGGAAGATGCTGCTAAATCAGTGTCATAGCTGCTGTCAGAGAATATGTCCTTCATCATCTCTTACCCCCTCATCATCATTTATTGCTCTCTCCCTTGTGGTGGCTCCCTCATTTGTGGTGGCTCCCTCATTTGTGCTCCCCTCAATTAGGTGTACTCTACTCCTCACACTAGGATGACATCTACGTTTAGTTGGTGAAAACTACAATGGCCCTTCAAAATCATTTATCTAGGCATTGATGCAAGCTACCCCCTTGTCTACATTGAGTACAAACCACTCTAAAAGATGTTCATCGGTTTTCATCTCAAATGAATCATTTTCTAGATCACTCCATAAGATTATGTATTGCTTAGACCCCCACATTGAATGCTTAGCTATGAAATCAATCAACTGTAGCAGCCCAAAGCTATGTATGTCATCAACAACTTTAGTTGGCAAAGTTTTACCCTGCTGCCATGACTTTGGAGCATTGTCTGGCAAGCTGAAAAAGATCGGATTCTAACAACAAGCCGTATACCCCTATGATTTGACCTACAAACCACAACAAACAGTATGCGGTTAGCTTATCCAACTCAAACCATCAAAATTGCACTCACTCTGGCAACCAAAGAACAATATAGAAGGGTTAGGGTTTGCTGAAACCACATTTGCTCTTCCATGTTGATCGATTCGACAGATCCTGTGTCCATGAGGTGTCCTGAGCGCCGTGTGCTGAGCAGGATATCCGCAAGGCCCCTCTCCGCGCGCGCCCCTGCAGCCACATCCCCAGGCGCCCAGAGGTAGAAGACGACCCACGGCCAGAGAGCCGGGACACGTGGGCGTAACGCTCGAACTGCAGAAGTGACGCTGTCGGTGATCGAGGCGGTTGTCGCCGCCGCGCGCCAGGCCATGAAAGTAAAGCCGACCGGGGCGGAGCCACGGCCCCTCCCCGCGCCTGGAGGAAGGCCGCGCCCGCACCTAGAGCCGTGGCCCTGCGCCCGCAACCAGAGGCGCCCTTCTTCCCACGCGCCACAGCCGCGGCCTCCCCTTCGGTGTAAGCTTCTGCGGCCCCACTGCCGAGAACCAAGACTCATGAACAGCCCTAGCTCGATGCGTGCATGACGACGCGCTCGTGCTTCAGTCAAGGATGAGGAGATAAGGATAAGGGGCATTATGGTCATTTAGCCTTTGCTTTTCAGATTTAGAATTTTTTTTAATTCGTTTAATCCATGTTAATATGACGGACTGAGAAGCAAGGCCAAACAAACCATTCAGTTTAAAATAACAGGGGTAAAAACACAAAGTTAAAAAAATAGGGGTAAAATCACAATTGGTTTACTGGACAAGGGTAAGAACACAGTTATCCCTTTATTTTAAGTTTGACCCAGTTTATAAAAAAAACTATCAATATTTATAACATCAAATGAATTTACTATAAAAATGTATTGTATGATATTAATCTAATGATATTTATTTAGAACGGTACGTTTCCATATAAACTTAGTAAAACTTAATATTATTTGACCTAGGACAAAATCAGAATAACATTCTTTGCAGAATTGAGATAGTACATCTCTAGCAAGCTTCCTAGCTCGTTCCTAATAATGAAAACATGCATTTTTCATGTTACGTACCATCTAGGACAACTAATTTCACTCTTCCAACTTGGTAAGTTGAGGCTAGCCTAACCAAGGGAAGCGAGGCAAGCCCATTGATACCAAGCAAATACTAAAAACCAACCACACTGGGGGACATATAGAGGCTATTTGGTATGTGGCCACACTCCGCCAGGCCATAGTTACGGCGAACCCTGTGTTTGGTTGGCGACGTAAACGAGAGGCTGACGCAGAGCAAATCCCGCCACAAAACCGTGGCGCCGAAGAACTTCGCCACACCTGTGGCGTGCCATAGCCTGCCGCACTTTGGGCATGCAGGACAGCGGCCGGTATCCAAACACCCTCGTACTCCACATTTCCACGAAGGCGTCATGTAGACCTGCCGCAGATTTACAACACGTGTTCATGTGCAAGCATCTAATGTATGAGAGTACGGGTCTTATGCGATATATGCTAACTCACACACATATGTCTAAAATCCAAGATAAATCGGACGACATCTGCGAACTGAACCTTAGTTGGCTAGGTTCCTTGTGGTACCCGGATTCAAGTTTTCAACTTAACACGGGTACACGTATTGTTCTGAATTTATTCTAGGATTAATTTAAAAAAATCGCACGGCATCTTCCTGTGGCACCCTGATCTGATTCTGATCTGATGATAAGTGGAGAGCACAGCGACTTTAGCGAGTAGTTGGGAGATTTGACTTTTAACGCGGGGACTTGAAGTTCTGGTTGTTGGCTGTGGTCCCCACGAGGAGGGTACTTTCCTTTCTGACCTTTTGCCTTTCTTCATCATCTCGCATGCAAAGACGTTTCACGTGGGAAAATGCAGACAAACGAGAGATCAATGCCGTCGTCGTGGCTTTCCGGTGCATGCATGTTTGGACTTGCATGCGTGCTCTCTTAACAGTTGGGTATATGCATATTTTTTTTTCGATACGAGGTTGTACCCCATTTCCATTGACGAAACAACGGAAATACATGGGCATATGCATATTAATTATTTGTTTTATTGATGCAACATTAGTCTCTTGAAAGACAGAAAATATGTATAAAGTAAGTAAAGGAGTAAACTTCAGGTCTAAATTACATTGGAATTAGCATATATAGGTGCTTTTTACTTGGTTGCGCGGGCTATCCTTGACAAAATCTTTTAGAGAGTCGTCAGTTGTAAACTATATATGCTTTGTTCTGTATAAAAGTTTTTGTTTCTTCCGGTATGATTTTCACATTTAATTTCCAGGAGTAGTGGAGTACGTACTTCCTGCTAGCTTTCCTCGATGGAAGAACATACAAAGATAGGTTATCTTAGGGACTCACCATATTATGCACGATAAGCTATCAAGATAGAAATGCACATGGAATGGCATATATAATACCCTTCAGCTTTTCTTGATTCAATGCTTCAGTTCAAAATATTCAAAAGTCCGAATATTTTTTTTCGACAAAAAAGTCTGAATATTCGTTGGCAGCAAAGAAGCTATCGTTGCTTGTGTACTCCCTCCGTCCCCTTATTATGGTCGTTTGAGCTCCGGACGCTTATACTCCCTCCGTATAGGATTTAGAAGTTGTTCTAGCGCATAATCAGAGTTGAGGAAAGGAAGTCGTTGTACCGCTCATGCAAAGTTGTGGACGCCACTGCCCCTGCACACACGCGCTCCGGCTCCCACGCCGCGCTCGGGCCACGAGTTAATAGCGCCGCGCCAAGGCAGTAATCATGCGCTGGCTTCCTTCCTCTCCGCATCACGCTCACCTTCCTTGCTGAGCGCGCGCGCAGTGGAAAAAACGAGCGCCAGTGCACTTAAATGCAAAAAACGAACCAAACTAACAAGGCTAAACGCGCCTTATCGCGGCTGAACTCACGCCAACGGCGAAAATCGAACGCAAGCGCCAACCGCCCAAACGCAAGCGCCACGCCCAGCCGCAAACGCGAAAAAAATGAGCCATGCAGCCAAAGCGCAAGCGCCACACAGCAAATAGTGCCATGCAAAATCAAGCCACAGCAAAAAAAAAAAGCGAAACTCGAGTCGCTGGACTTACACCTCGATGCACTAACCGTCCGAGCCAAAGAACTTTCTCGTCCGTAACCCTATTTAATAGGGGTAGATAGGGAAAAATATTCCCTAATTAATCACTCCTTGATAAGCACAATCATGTCCTAAACGACTTCTAAATCCTATACGGAGGGAGTACTAAGGAGGCAAAAGGAAGACATGCATACCCCTATATGCCAATCAGGTGTTGTGGACATGGTACATACTCCCTCCGTTCCAGAAAAGAATACAATTTTAGTATAGTGTCATAGTTTAGTATCTTAAATTCGATCAATTATAGATAAAAAATATCAATACTTATGATATCAAATAAATATCATTTGATTAATTAGAAAATGTATTTTTTACAATAAATTATTTTAGAGCCGTAATGTGAATAATATTCACTAGAAATTTGATCAAATATGAACTACTTTTGCCGACACATAGCCCGTAATTGCATTCATTTCTGAACGGAGGGAGTACTCCGTACGTCTTGGCGGTGGTGGGAGGGGGAAGCCAGGAGGGGATAAGGCTGCTACACAGGCACAAGCAGTTGCTGTGGTAGATGGTACACCTATCTATAGGACTGCATTAGGATACTCACAATACAAATTCTATCACCTTTCATTCCAAATTGAAAGACGTTTGACTTTTTTGGCTTCAAGTTTGACCACTCGTCTTATTTAAAAAATTTGTGCAAATATAGTTAAATTTAAGTCATTCTTGAAGAATTTTTATTAATAAACCAAACCACGACGAAAGAAGTGATATTTTACCTAAATTTTTGAATAAGACAAGTGGTCAAACTTGATGTCAAAAAAGTCAAACGTCTTACAATTTGGGATGGATTGAGTAGTTTCTATGGTTATTTATTATCCTCCTATTTATTGATTTTTTCTGATGTGGCACTGTATTTATCGAGGAAAGAGAAGGAAACGCAAGAAATGGAGTCTAACGTAGACTCGACGTCTACGGTGGCATCGAGACGGAAGAAACTGCAATTTTTAGCGTTGGGAAAGTTACGTTCGTTTCCATCTCTCCCGTGTAGATCCCGTGCGTCTGATCCTCCGAGCATGCTCGCCATCTGCGCAGGCCGCTCGACGTCGCGTCCGCTCGGAGATGGCGTGCGTCCTGCTCGCCCGGCGCCGCCGCCCACGAAGCCTCGCGTATGCGGCCGCCGGCGGAGCCTCGCGCGCATCCCTGGAGCGGTAGTCGCGCATCCATGGCCGCCAACGGGGATGGAGACTTCCTTCTCGCCGTCGATGCCGAGCGCAGCCACACCACCACGCCCGACGGAGCTCGCGTCTGCCCCGGCTTGCCGCGTTCGCCCTCTCCGCTGCCGGATCTCATCGTCGTCCCTCGTACGCCCGCCCCAGCATCGTTCGCACCTCGCACAACATGGTGGCCCGCAACCGTCCCCCACGGCAACGTCGACGGCAGCAGTGAGGAGCCCGCATGGATCTCCCTCGGCAGGCACCAGCAGCACGGAGGCCGCGATGCCCACGACGCTCCCAGCGGCGCGCCTCGTCCATGCCGTCGCGCGTCGTGCTGCACACGCGCCACTACCCGTGGAGCCCCGGCTCGTGCGTGGATGCCCCGCGCGCGCCGTCGCTCGCGGTAGAGGACAGGCCGCCCGGCGAGGTCGTCCGTGGGGCTCGCCGCATCCGACTCCTTCGCGCTTTCTTCCGCCCCGGTTCGCCGCATCCACACGGCTGGCTCGACGCCGGCTCGCCGCATCCGCCCTGGTTCGCCGCGGCCGCGCCGTTGCATGCGGAGCTCGCGCACGGTCGTCACCAGGGCCGCCCGCGGAGCATGCCCATCCTTGCCGCCGTCCTAGCCGCCGGTGCGCCCGCGGCCGCGCGCACCAAGCCGTGTGCCTAGGCCCCGCGCCGTCGCTTGTCGAGCTCGCATGCACGCTGCCGGCCCGCTGCATTGCTCGTCGTCCCTGTGTGGTGGTGAGCAGGGAGATAGCAAGCGGGAGCAGAAGATCCTGAGGGAGGAGGGGTGAATGGCTGGAAAGATCTCATGATATAAAATAGTTTCTGTATTCAAAGAAATAGTTTATGTATTGTGAGCGACTTTAGTACGCCAACAACACTTTTATTTGGGGACAACCTCTCCAAGCTATTTATAAATATTGAGTCTCTTTGACTTGGGTAGTCCAATAAATGCATCTGATAAAAGTCGCCTTCTGCAGGACGTTAGCTGGTGCCACCGTACGGCTGCCGTACAAGAACCATGATTACAGAAACTTCTTGATACTGTGTACTACCTTCCACCACACATAATTATTGTTTACGACGGTGATAGGACGACCATGAAGCAAGACATCAGTGTTTCCAAAAGTTCAATTATTTGAAACACCGATCATCATGAAAGCTACTAATTTTGAAGATAATTTGAGTCATGCTACTTTGAAGGGTTCATTCGAATATATACTCGCAAACATATTATATAACTCAAATCAATCGACATAGAAGTATATACACATTTTTTAAAGAAAAGTGAAACATACTAGTAGGACATATATGTTGCAACAATTGACGGCATGAATCAGGAGCTTATACTGCCGATAGTTTTTTTTTCTCGAGCGTGTCCTTGTGACACGTATTTTATTAAGCAGAAGCAAAGTTTGACTGGTTACAACATCCACAAGTATTCCATAGATTTAAGTTGAAGGATGAAAGCCAACACGACCCAAATAAATCTAACTTAAATTACATTACATGAAAGTTATGCAATCAATTAGGCAGATACCAACAACACTAGCAAGCCTCCTCGAACAAACACTCGAACCCTGCCACGTCTGCCAACGGTTATCTATGGAAAGTGTACCTTTAGAGCATGTGGATTGAAAAAATATGAGTTGATACATGTTCAAAGATAATAGTATAAATACATACATGTTTATATGTGAGTAAATTTAGGATAGAGAGAGAACGTCAAACAGCGATGCTACAGTAACTTTGCCCGATGAAAGGGGCAACCAAAAAATAGCTTAAACTTACAAGAAGACGAGTTCAGAATACTTGGAACCCGATTTTTTGAAATAAAATGACGTCTTCCTGTGGCAACATGTGATTTTACTATATATGCTTACATATATTCTATATAAATTTGATCAAATATAGATGAGTTTTACTTAATAACACAAACTAAAATGTCGACTTATATTATGAAATGGATAGAGTACGTACCATGTAATTTCTCTGTGCAAACAAAACAAAAGCCCACAACATATACAAACTAGTAAATAAAAGGTGCAAAAATAAGCAACAGGTTCAGGGAGGGTTTCTAAACTGGCACCTGTTGTCCATTGTGTTGCACCTAATTACTTTCTTCTCTCTCATATCTGCATCTCGACGCGTTTCGACATACATGAATATATCAGAAATACGTCACCTGCCTGTGTAGGAGCACGATGGTTGGTGCAACTAACAGCCCAACTAGCTAACGCACGCCAGCCGTACGTACGTACGTACGGACACCAAGGACCAAGCTAATTGCCGCAAGAACTCGGAAGTCAAACTCTCGTATACAGCCAGACCCGCCGTACTGTACTCCTAATTGGAACATATATATATATATATATATATATAAATTCAAAGATGCATATGATCTGATGAACGGCCAACCAATTTGATGAGTTTTGTTGATACGTTCATCCTATATATATCTTCGCATGCAAAGGAAAAGAAAAACCATTCAGCCTAGATACTGTATAAATTAATTAAAGCATCCTGTTGATTTGGGTTCGAAAGTAAATAAATTCCCTGTAGGGGCTGCGCCCCTCCAGTTTCGTCAATAAAAAAAAGTAAATAAATTCCTGACTGTAATCTGTTTGGGTTCCTAATTATTAATTAACGCCGACCGGATCAGAGATTGGGAGTGATCACTAGCTACTACGTGTATAAATAAATAAATAAATAAATCGTAAGACCAGAAGGTTCGTTCTAGCTACTGATAATATAATTACTAACAACCAAGTTGCAAGCGCTTAGTCAAGTATGCAAAACCAATTAATACTTGTGTCGAGTTTGTAATGTCTAATATGACTGCAGCCCTGCTCTCTTTCTCTGCCTGCTGACTACTCGATGAGTCGATCAATGGCACGTTTGGCAGCACGTCAGCCTGCCGGCCGCCGGCAACCACTGCACGGTGCACTCCATGCATGTGCGACCCGGCCGGAAAAACCGTACGCCAAGTCAAATTGATGCCAGAGGCAACAAGCTAACAGTGGCCTACAAAGATTTCCCTGTGATTTCCCTGTCGGTTGTTTCTAAATTCCTCGGTTGGTTTCGTGGCCCCGACCGAAAAATTCACCGTCGGGACGGTTGTAAGGGCGGTTGGTGATGGAGCTGCCCCTACAGTGACGTGCTTGGAGCCACGAGACCAGCCACCCATACAAATGGAACAGTAAGGGCGGCTGGTGATACAAGCCGCCCCTATAAATGGGTCTGATTTGTAGAGGTGGCTGTATTACGAGCCGCCCCTACAGTGTCTATTTGGTAGGGGCGGCTGAATCACCAGCCGCCCCTACAAATTCCCGCTGTATATATAGCGGCCAGAAAATTCTCTCTCCCTCTCTCTCAGTCTCTCTCCTCTTCACTCCCTCTGTCCCTCGACGCGGACAGGGCGGCGGCGGCGCCTGGCGCGAGCGGGCGCGGCGGCTGCGGCCACCTTTCTCCACCTCCTCCTCCCCCCTCGCACCATTTCCTTTCTCGGCTCCTCCCCTCTTTGCCCGAGTCGCTAGCCTCCTCCCGTCCTCGCCGTGGACCGCTTCCTCCACCTCCGCTTCCACAGCAGCCGAGCGAGGTCAACTCTTCCGCGGCGGGAGAGAGAGAGAGAGCGAGGGCGGGAGCGGGGAAGAGACGGGAGGGTCCCGGATCTGAGCCGAGCTGCGCTCTCCGCCGCCCGTCACCGCCCACCGCCCACCGCCCGACACCCAGGTCTTGTCGCCCTGCGCAAATCTGCTGCTGCTCCTGAGGTAAATCGTCGATTGCTTGAACCGTACCCGGTAGATCCGGTATGCTTCCGCGAGCAGAGGGTACTTCTTTTTTTTTCTGGTTACAGGTATATTCCTCTATTTGATTTTTTCATTGAACTTCAAGAGACTGCCTTCAGAGTGATTGCGGATAACTATGTCACGGATGATAGTGGAACGGGTGTTGTCCATTGTGCTCCCGCTTTTGGTGAAGACGACCATCGTGTTTGCCTTGCGGCTGGCATATTTGAGGTTGGATTTATTCTTCTTTAATTCATTCATTTATATCCTCACTCACTGATGTGCCGCTAAGGCAAATGTATTCAAGGTTGAGAGAAATGGGAAGATCAGTAAACCAGCAATCTCCTTTTCAGAAACTTGGGGGAATAGCCCTATCTATTTAATTAAAATGACACTATCAAACCAATGATGATCAGACAGTAGGACAATTTTGGGAAAGGGACATGGTAGTGCCCTGCCTCCACCCTTTACCACTATTCGATCAGCATGCTGCAATTCTAAAGATACAACATAAATGTTGAATGCCTGAACACTTGTTTTTTCTAACATCTCTCTTTAACGCATACCCCCCTCTCCCCCCCCCCTAAAACATCAGTGAAGTACGTACCCATTTGAATCTGAATCTGATTATAGAGCTAGAGCTTAGTTCGGTATTTTCCTAATGTTTGCAGTTTGCCTTGAATTACCTTTTTGCCACAACATTGTTAATTATCCTGAATGATATACTTGTCATGCTTCTTTGATTGATGCAAACTATCTCTTAGCACTGGTAGAGAACCGAGCTTTACTCCCGGTGGGGAACCCCCTCTAGTCCCAGTTCCCCACCCGGGAGCAAGCATCCGAGACTAAAGGGGGGTCCTTTAGTCCCGGGTTAGGAACCGGGACTAAAGGAGGACCTTTAGTCCCGGTGGGTAACACCAACCGGGACTAAAGGTGCCTCCTGACATGCCACGATGGCCGGCACCTTTAGTCCCGGTTGGTAATACGAACCGGGACTAAAGGTTTTTTTTCTTTTTCTTTTCTTTTCATTTTTTGTTTTCTTTTCAAAATAGGTTTTGAAGTCGTATTGTACGCTGCTAATTATACATTTATACGCGCATATAGTATGTTTGGTTCAAGCACAATGAACGTATTAAATCACACAATTCAAGCATTATATATATAATATATAGATATATATATATATATATATGAATGCATGCATCATATATATATTTACATACATCATGCACGCATATGTGTATTTTATATTATATTATTTCATGTGCATATATTACAAAAGATTGCATTACAGTTGTTGTGACATAACAAGTTTTCTCTCATCCTCTAGCTTGGCTTCAATGGGCGGTGTTGGGTCAAGTAGAACTCGCCGCCCTTGGAATCGATGACCTGCTCATTAAAAAATCCGCTATAGACTCTTGAATTGCTTTGATTTGGTCTTGCTTGTATGACCTTTTCCTCCAACCATCGAGTCTACAGGTTTGAATTAAAGGAAAATAAATTAATATATATATATATATATATAAAGACATAGTAACACAATCAATAATAATAATTAAATGAATATATAGTGTATTTTTAACGTACTTTGAGTCTCTCTGTAGGAGTTCTTTGGGAGAGCACCTTGATAAACTTGCAAACATAGTAACCACAGTAGTTGTTCCCCTGTTCCTGCCTTAGACACCACTTTCATTTAGAAAAAGATTTGTCATCCAATCTGGTGATCCGTGAAAGCTATATGTTTAATTAATAAAGATGATGCGATTCAGGGACTTACTTTCAAAGGGATTACATTCAGTGGCGGCTTTGCATTTTTCCATGTGTTGCTTCTCAATAAAGGTTTTCCAAACACTGCCCAATAAAAAATTTGCCACGTCATCAGATATAGTTAATCATCATGTTTGTGTGTATATATAGTTGCTAGAGAT